AGTGATTGCTACATGACCATCTGTAGCCTCATGTCATAAATGACCTTAAGCAGCCCCATGCTCCCCTGATCTCATAGTTGTAGTGGTGCTTATACAATCTTATCACTGGCTTAACCAGGTTTAATCCATCTAGGTAATTCCGAAATCCAATTCGTGGATTTCCATCTCCTCACTGCTACACCCGAACTGGTGGGTGCTACTGTCCTTCTCGCATCCTAACAACGCACTCACGCTATTTACCAACCTAGTGAATGCTACGGCTACACCTGCAAACTTACAACACTCTCATGCTATATGGCTGCTAGTGAATGCTACGGCTACACCCGTAGACTGACAACACTCTAACACTATTTGGCTGCTAGTGAATGCTACAGCTACACCTGCAGACTTACAACACTATAACACTCTCTGACTACTAGTGAATGTTACGACTACACTCGTAGACTTACAACACTCTATCACTATCTGGCTGCTAGTGAACGCTACGGCTACACCCGAAGACTTACAACACTCTATCACTATCTGGCTGCTAGTGAATGCTACAGCTACACCTGTAGACTTACAACACTCTGACACTATCTCATTCGCTAGTGACTGATCCAAACACATCCAACGTCGAACATACACACGACCTCGCATCTAAAACTAAACTCATGTCCTGACTGGAATCACCCACCTGATTTCTAAGGATTGTCGGCATTCATTATGAGAACGCGATCTCATAATGAGCAAGTTTTTCCGAACTTCCATTTCACACTACCCTCAACTATACAACCACTTGGGCTATCTTCCTTCATGACAAGGATGTGAAGCATATTCCAGTTTCAAAACTACTCCTACTTTTGAATCCCTAGATGATTCTCCCCCACTTAGATTCAAATAACATTTTGCAACCCACAATACTGGAAAGATTCTCAAGTTTCTTACCAACCATGACCAATCTGCTAGAAACCACGTTTACCATTGCTAGTGTTTCAACACCATCTAATCCAAAAGATCAAACAAATACTAAAAATCCGAATAAATCTCCGGTAATAACCCGCTAGACCCAAGAAGTTCCGAAACTCAATTAGAGACCTCGGAATCGCCCACTGCATCACGGCCTCAAACTTGGCCGGATCGACTAAAATATCCTTCTGATTGACAAGGTGCCCAATAATTTGCACCCCGCGCAAACAGAACTCACAATTGAAAAACCTTGCAGAAATTCTCTCCCTCCTCAAAGACTCTCGCACCTTCCTCAGATGCTTCCCATGCTGCTCCTCAGTCTTGCAATAAACCAAGATGACGATGTACTCTCCCAATCCCACAATTTCGGGATATGATCTTTCGCTATCAGCTAAAAATTATTGGTATGCAATTGGTGTATGCCATTTCTTGGAAGTATAATTCAAACACAAACGGAGGATAACCCAGAGTCACACTTACTCAACCCCTGGAGCGAAAGACTCTATCGTGCAGTTTCCCACACATGTTGTACTGAATCTAACCCTGTTGGTCTCTCAAAAACTGATCCAAAATCTAGGGTCCCCTCCCGAGACCCCTCAATATAAGCAACTGATTTGATTCCCTCTTACCAATGTGCTCCAAGTCCATATCTCGTTCTCAGGATCTAGAAGTCATATCATTCAGGGTCTTGCACCCCGAGATACTCACGATCTCCCTGCTATCACTCTACAGTATGTTCTGATAACTTACATTCTTCATATCCTCATCTGCTGCATACTGCGGTACCATATAAGCTCTTTCTCGAGACTTGGCAGTGATCTATGCCACAGTCTCATTCGTCTGGTTAAGGTCTAACAACTCTTGTGCCAACTGTTGCGCCTCAATCTCCTGGGCACACTTAGCCCATAACCTGGTCTAGTCATAAAATGACATAGGATCAACCACATCATCACTCAACCTTCTACCAACCTCTTCCTATCAATCTCGTGCTCCGCCCCTCAGGAGATAGGAAGTGAGTCGGATATTGTCTCCTTTCGAGACAACGTCTGGTAGAAGAAGTGTTGGTGACAACTACCAACCATCTGCTACTAACAATGGGGTCCCTAATCCCATGACAATTTGAAGCCTCACAAACTCTGAATTCCCGAAACATCAACGTACGGGTCTATATCATGACTACTATCTCAGTGCAGAGTGCATTCGGCCTCTCATCACAAATCTCTATAATGCCCTCCTTGATCACACTGAGGATCGCATGAGTTTGGTCAATGATACTGCGTGGAATTCTCAGATGGAATGAACTCCCTCATCTGATCATCAATCTGCCCGACTCCAGAGTCTGAGACTGATCCCTTGTCGACACCAAAACTACCATCTGGTCTACCACGTAGTGCCACTATACTCGGCAACATGCCATCACTAATATCACAATACTCATCCAAACTCGAGGGATCTCACACACTACAAGTTTCCCGGTCTCATCTCAACCTTCCTTGATTCAAGTACAGATCCTCTGCTTCCAGTAGTATGGGCCCCTACTACCTTCCACATCTATCCGTACCTTCCTCCAGAACTGCCTCGACTCCACCAAGTCACTACTACTTCTACTGATCTCTGCTACTCTCATCCTAGGCTTACCCTAGGGAAAATCTCTGACTCAACCAAAACCAGTCCTCAGCTGCTGAAGGCCTCATTGTAATGCCAATGAGTCATTACCTGAATACCATCACATGTGATGAGCTCGGATAATCCTTCGAGTAAAAGACTCATCCCCATAACGGTTAGACTCAGACAAGAGCTGCGCAATAGGGCCAAATCCAGCACTCTGAGATTATTCAACCTTGATTACATGTGACGTAACGTATTCACCTAATGGCTAACTCTCATCACTTAGAGTCCTACAAAGCACAAAGCAAGCAACATTCGGACACAGGAAACTACTAAAGCAAATGAATTCTCATAACAAGAAACTGTACTAGCATACAATAGTAAGCTCATACTATCAAGCATAACCTAAACATGCTATCCTACTACTGTTTACTCAATACTAGCATGCAATTCTCATTAAGCTGAAACACATATAGCAGGCACATAAGGCATCCTCCTAGATCCTTAGTTCTTTTCTAGCATGCTGTTCTACAAAAACTAAAACTAATAATCATAAAATAAACTTGTAGTGTAATTTGGGAGTACTTACTTGAGCTCGACTGATTGCATGCACCACACCCTTTTCTCTTTTCAAAATTCTTTTCACTTTTTCTAACTCTTTTCTTTATAATTTTTTCTAAAATTGTTTTCTTTTCTGAAAATCCTTTTCTAAACATGGTTTTTCTCTTGAAAAATTTATATTACTTCCTTAGTTTGAGTTCAGACACACCCAAAAGTGTGCCTGAATCCCTCAAACCAAGGCTCTGATACCAACTTGTAACATCCCAAAAACACAGTCTGAAAATTTCCTTTAATTTAATAATAAAAACCATAGTCGATAAACCTCATATAAAAATCATAAGCAATGTGTCTCAAAATATTATAACATATGTCAAATATATCAGAGTATAAACATCTCAGGCTGAACAAATGGTGTGTGCACTGCAATCTTCCCGAACTCCTTTTTGGAAAAACTGAGTACCTGAAACCAAAAATTGAAACCGTCAGCACGAAGCTTAGTGAGCCCCCACCACATACCATACAATAACATATAAAGCACATACTGGGCCTTGCCCACTGCATCGGACCGAGGTCCGAACTAAGTTAGGCCTTGCCCCTGCATCGGACCGAAGTCCGGAACTAACTGGGACCTTGTCCCCTGCATCGGACCGAAGTCCGGACTAACTAGGGCCTTGCCCCATGCATCGGACTGAAGTCTGGAACTGACTGGGACCGTGTCCCCTACATCAGACCGAAGTCCGGACTAACTAGGGCCTTGCCCCCTACATCAGACCGAAGTCCGGAACTGACTGGGACGTTCTCCCCTGCATCGGACCGAAGTCCGGACTAACTGCATCGAACCGAAGTCTGATCTGACTGAACATAGCATGGCATAACATATCAACTAGCATGAACACATATACTGCATATTGCATCGGGCCGTAGCCAAGAACACATAACACATAAATCCTATCTGAGCCACGAAGGCATCAAACATACTAACTACTGCATCAGACCGAAGTCTAGAAACTACTGCTAACTAAACGGGTTGGCATTGTGGCCTTAGACCCATTCCTACTGGAAGGAAACTCACCTCACACCGCTGAAGTCCCGTAGACTCGACCCCAACTGCTAGATGACAGATTCCCAATCTGTCAACATCAAAATAACACCCAATTAATAATTGGTTTCCACTACATAACTATAATTACATTCTTTGGATAATTACTACATTACCCCAAGCTTGGCTTACCCAAGCCCAAGGTCTAATCCATAGGCCCAAAGTCAACTAGGGATCAAAGCCCAACATATGGTCCAATTTTCCAAATTGGGCCCAACTCCTCATATGGGCCTTTCCTTAAAGCCCATTAATTATTCTAGTCCATTTACTTGATCTTGGATGGCCCATTAATAACCTAATCATCCAGGCCCAATAAAAGGCCCAAAAATAAACCCAAGTGAAATTAGGGTTTTCACATAAAATGACAATTAGGGTTAAGTGTTTCTCACTTAACCCATTAAGGACTTAATCCATTAAAGTCCATCATTCTTCTAAATAAGTCATATGGTGTGATTCGGCTTAAGCACACAATTCCACTCCAATGGCCCAAAAGTGGGTCCCGATAGGTCCAAGGCCCACATATATAAAATTAGGGTCTTCTAACCCAATCACGTGCCAATTAGTTCATTGACTAAGTTTTCACGTAATTCAATCCATATATATATATATATATATATATATATATATATATATATATATATATATATATATATATATATATATATATATATATATATATATATATGCAAATTATCATTCCATTAAATTACAAGTGGAATTCACGGCCATAAGTTATCATCCCTTTTAGATAAATTATGGCCTAAAATAATCCCAATTCATAAAGTCAATTACATGCCACCAGCCTATTAGCTAACTTGATCACCAACGCATTAAAGGCCCAACAGAGTTCAAATAGCGTACGTAGCTTCAAGGAGGCGCACAAGAGAAGTTCCTCAACTGTGGTTGAATCCTCGTTCATCAGAACCGCAACCTCCACAACCAAGCTAAGAATCGTATAGACCCACACCCTGATCGCTATTGATTCCTCACCTTCTTTCTGGCCATCGAAGACTCGTAGACTAGAACCTTGCCTCTCCCCTACAGTGTTGCTGGAGGTCCCAAGACAGTCACCGGAAAGTCATTAGGCTAAGAAAACGGGATTAAACCCATCAATTAATCTCTCTCTCTCTCTCTCTCTCTCTCTCTCTAATCGAATTCACTAATGGGAGATAAGAAATCAAAGGATGAATCGAGTCTTACCTACCTTCACTGCTTTGGATAACATACGAGATTCTTCGAAGGTCCATGCAAGGTTGGAGAATAATGCAAACCACCCCACTAGGTTCACGGTAACGCAAACAATCCCGTTCTCGCTAAACAATCACCCACCTATCTCTCTCTCTCTCTCTCTCTCTATCTCTCTCTCTCAACTAATGCTCTAGTGAGAGTTCTGACTAGCGAAGAAGCCCAACGATGTCAGCTCCTTCTTCACAGTTCTTCTTCTTTCAAATCATTCCTTCACAACTTCGATGTCTCTCACCCTCTCTCGCTGCCAGTGAACATACATATTCCTCATTCTATCTAAGGGTTTGTTCCTTATATAATTCGATGATGTAGGTGAAGCAACAAGAGCATGAGACACCTCCCTCCCTCATGCTCTGTCGCTTATAGGGGGTGGGGGGGCACATGCTTAATTTTCACATATAGGCATAAATAGTCCATGATGTTTAGTCACCTTACACATATAACCCCTTTACCCAAAATTTCATTCAAGCTAAGTTTCTAAAAAACATTAAAGGACCTTCTTATTTCATAATTCTTTCAAATTATCTCCAAATTTACCAAATAGCCCCTCCTCTATGAAATATTTCCAATATAAGTTCAAAACTACAAAACGAGCCCAATTGATTATCCCTTAGCCATATGTTCAAATATTCTTCCCACTATGAACCCTAGAAGCACTCTTTAGACCTCCAAACAAATTATAATGCCAATTACACACTTTTACCAAACTCTTATTTAAATATATGCATATATCGGAATAAAATAATGCTTAACACCCATCTTAATATTTTTAGGTTTGTCTTGGAAATGGGGTGTTACATATTCATCTATTTTAACAATACCATAAGCAAATCGATTATCAGGTACTTTATCAAATTCTGCTATTGTCTTTTCACAATCATAGATGCGCTATCAATCTTTTCTCTTTTGAAAATTAGAAAAGGCAACAACTTCCTATGTTGTTCTTTGCTTATATTTGATGAATGAAGTTAATTTTGCATAAAGACATTTAGCTGTGTTACAATATATGTTTCTTTAAGCTAAAAGCATCCTTAATTCATTTTCCAAAACATCCCTATCACAATTAATGTTTTTTATCTGAAGTTCTAAGTATTCTACTTTGCCTCTTTTCGCATGCAACAACTTTTGAGTCTATAGCAATTGAGTATTAAACTTTTTCGGTTCATTACTAGCAAACACAACAATAGTATTAAAGTAAGCAACAGTATCATCAAAAGCAGTTATTTCAGAATCATATGCTTGTAAAGGAATGTTAAAAGATTGAAGAAAAGAACATACCTTGGTAGTCATTGGTGACTTATCTCCAAATTGCGTTACGAAACATATACCAGTTATAACATCCTCATCACTTTTAGCAAACTTAGCAAATATCGTGCCATGCGTTGGATTTTCCATTTCCTCATCATCTGACCAAGATGACCAGATTTGATAGGTACCATCATCTTCACATTCACTTCTAGTAACTAAAGACGTTCCATTGCACAAACTTTATCCAAGCATTCCACATAATACGCTTCATCTTTAACCTTGCTCTTCTTTTCCTCTTTTTTATGAAGTTAACAATCACTATCCATATGATTTTCTCCATGGCAGTAATGATAAACAATTCCTAAATCACCTTTTAGATTTTTCTCAAATTTGGCCTCGTCAGACTTCATATCACTCTTCTCAAACGTTTTCTTTTCCTCATTCACAGCTTTGTTAATGAAACTTCCATGGATATCTTTTTGCATCATCTTTGGATTGAACGGTTTCTTGAAAAAAAAATTTAACTCTATTTTTAGAGTAAAAAGCAACAGCCTCATCGTCCGAATTCATAATAAATCCTTCTTCATCATAATTCTCTTTTTCAACCAGCTCCTTCTCAACGACTTTCGAAACTAGTGCCAATGGGCCTCCCAAACTTAGTTTCGACTCTTTAGCCATCTCATTCACCTCTCCTTCACGAGTTTTCAGTAGATTGTATAAATCATTCAAGTAAGAATTATTAAAAAATTTCTAACTTTTCACCATCATGCTTACATTTCGCCACTGCATACGAAGTCCCATTACAAAAGTAAGATTGAACTCCATTGATGACCTTGTGATACCATAACAATCACATCTGTAAATGATTTCATTCAAACGATCATAATAACCTTCAATGGATTCACCTTCTTTTTGTCTGAATTCCTTTAGTTCAACAAGACATTGCTTCACTGAATTTATCTTTGTCTTCTCGCTTCTTTGAAATTTTTCTTTAAGTGTATTCGAAATCTCTTTTGCAGATTTACAACCACGAACATAGTTGTAGACTACTGGAGGTAATGCTCCACGTAGTTCCCTCATGCATTGTTTCTCATTTTTCTTCAGTCTAGAAGATTAATCATTAACAACTTGAGTAGAAGCAGAAGAACCAATGTTTTGAACATTCACAGGTGGAAGAACATTTCAAGAACTACAATTCTAGAGTTCCTCATCTAATCCATTCAAGTAATCCTCCATACGAACAGCCATTGATCATAGTATTCAGGAATGAGCATAGGAATCTTAGTTGAAGATCCTAGCAAATGAGAAAAAGAAGTCATCGTATTCATGTTAAAGTTCGCCATGAAAATACGGATCGGATTTTCAGAAAAACTTGATGAATTTCACAATTGAGTGAATGAATGAATCATAAAATTCAAAACTATTACTCGACAAACTAATTCAGTTACAGAATCTAATCACAACTGAAGATCAGATTGATTTTCAGAACCAAATGCGCGAAAACTTTTGAATCAAAATGTGACTCAAAAACTTTTGATTCAATATCAAAATCAGATCATTTCAGTTTGATTCCTACTCTGATACCAAATGTAGAATAGATTAATCGAGTATTGAAATAGGATCAACGTGAATAACAATTCAGAATACAAGATCTAAATAAAATCTGGTTCCAGCTTATATTACTTTCAACGAAACTAAGAGTATTACAGACAGAGAAATTGTAAAAACTCTTATCTAAACTCTAAGTTCAGCCCCTATATTTAGAAGGACTGAAAGTACAAAGAATACTAAGGACTAAACTTCTAGACTTCGAAACAAAAATGCCTCAGTAAATAGATATCAAACTATTCGACACTGCCAGAATACACTTCAACACATTACAATAATTTTGACATTAACAGTCTCATAGATTCTATCCAATAATATGACCTTACTAATCACAATAAGAAGAAATCAAATCATTGTGCTCTTTCGGTTTAGGCATCTACTTTGTGATGGGAGGCATGAACCTAGTAGAGCCTCCTCATCCCATTAAGGGGACCTTTTGTCTAGACATCTTCAAATGAATGCATTTCTGACTTGACTCAAAATTCATTCAATGCTTGATTGGCTAAAACATAAACAAAATCAATTTAGCATGATGTCTTTAAATACAAATCTCATACCAATACTTAAATTACAACATTAACACATATCTAGCTTGAACCAAATGTATTTTGAAATAATAACATGCTTCCAACTTTTAAACAATTTGACTCTTTATCAATAATTCATGAAAATGAACCAAATCAAAAGTCATATTCCCACATACTCTTAAATTTATAATAAGGGTTCTATATGAACCCAAACAATAAACAAAATTCTCCGTTGTAAGGTATTTCATTAATTCTTAATAGAATTTCTAGGGAAGAACTAACATAAAAACTCATTTCTATCCTGCAATTACTCAAAGCCATATTTATAAGCATTTATCATGTTTTCAATACTCATAATTTAAATCAAGTATCATAATTCTTTCTTGAAAATAATCATAATCATATGTAAATTATCATTTGACTCATAGAAAATAACTTGCTAGCCAAGTATCCCATGATAAAAGTCCACATGTACAGACCTTAGTAGCTAAGTATGTCTAGCTACAATAATCTACATGCTCTTAAGCTTGATTAATTTCAAGCACACTTTAATCTCTATAAGATTGATTCATGAAAAGATAAGTGAAATTTTGGTACATAACTATGAAATAACTATGCTACACTACTTATTAGAACATCATTACAAACTTGTTATAATAGTCAAACATGTGTCATAAATTTCTAAATTCATTTTAGGCATTATTTTCTAAATTCCGGCCATTTAATAGTTTTTGTATTTCATCAATTTGCTTTAAATTTCATAAATATATAATTAATGTGTTCATCTAGTCATTTTAAAATTATTACAACTTAACTATTGTAGTTAAGTACAATTCATTAAAGCATAATACTCATTTTTGACATTTTACCCCTTTTGTCCTATTTTTACAGCTTAATATAAAGTTTATTCATACATTATTATGTTTAACTCAATGTAATTTATCCCAATGATGCACAAGTAATGAATATATGTATAAAGTTTCGTAGGACCTTTAAACTACTTTTCGCTATGACACTTTTTTACCATTTTCTTGTTTAGGCATTCTATTTGTAACACTTGAATTTGGTTATATATTTAACCTCTCTATTATAAAAAGTTTGCGAAATTGGCCCTTAAGCTAGTACACAGGGCGTACTATGTGGTACGCTTAGCATACTAGCCTAATGCATGATTGAGGAGCTCATCCGCATACGCTGGGTGTATGTGGAGTATGCATGACGTATGTGAGTTTTAATGAAACTCTAAATTTTAGGGTTTGCATCTTATATAAACCATATGATAGCCTCATTTGGTCATGTTTACCCAGCCTCCATATCTTGAAAACCCAAACCTCGCCCTTAGCCTTTGTTTTGGTGATTTTAAGCTCTTATGAAGCATTTTGGTGTGTTTTTGTGAATCTTAAAGTGGTTGAAGAAGATTGAAGACTCATTCTTTGGAGAAGAGTTTAAAGATCCAGCTTTAGCTTCATCATTTCATGTATTTTGAGGCATAAACTCCATAACTTGTCAACTCCTTGTATAGATCCACTTTTAGGCTTGTTGACGACTATTTTGGTCCCTTTTGGTTGGTCCTTGTGAGTTAGGTTCGTTTCAGAAGCTTAACCCTTTAGATTTGGACA